CCCCCCCCCACCCCCCCACTCTTGACCCCTTAATGTCATCAATCTTTTATCACCTGCAGTGCACTAACTTCCGCTGACCCCACATGAGTCACTGCAAGTGGCCAATTTCACACTTTTCTTATGTTTACCCACCTTTTCTTTGTTCCATATCCTGAGTTGCTGCAATCAGAAACTCAGCACCGCTGTGACAGACCTTTTTCATGACACTCCCTCTTTCTTTCTCTTGCTTGCTCTCTTATCTCACCCTCCTCTGGTCCACTAGTTGATATCATTATAGAATTTAATTGCCAGGCTGCCTTGATAATTAAAGAATTCTCACTCTTTCTCTCTGCACACTTTGTGAATGATTGAGCAGCACTGTATAAAAGCCCATATGAAATAACATTTTTAGGTGATTCCCGCCCAACCATAACTCCTGTTATCTCCTTTCTGTTCTACCACATCATTGTGCTATCCAATTATACATGGCATCAGCGGACACCCTTTTAGCTCCACTCCTAGGGATGGGCCATCAAATTAGTTTAGGAGAGTGAAATTAAATTTGTGTCACTGCTCTTGAAACATCTGGCAGGGCTTACAGTAAGTGGGCAAAATGCACTGCTGTCACCTGTGCCCTCATTTGTGGAGGTGAGGATGATGATCCTACTGTGCGCCTGTGTGTTTGTGTTCTGAGAGTGAATGTGCAGTCATGTACGGTATGCTTGAAGGAGGTATTGTGACTCCAGCATGTGAATATGCACGTCTGAATATATGCTTTTTAAGCCGGGAGTTATCTATTTACTATATCTCAGGCGTTAGTAAAAAAGCTATTGACATTTGCATGTTACACAAAACATGCATTACATCAAAATGCACATGACCATGACCATAATAAAAGCATTTTAATTTACTAATGTACCTCTATTACCAGTTCTCAAAATGCACAGCTTAATGTAGATGAGATTTGTCCATGTTTATTTATATATATCTATGTGTGTGTGCATCTTCAGTGGATTTAGTAGCACTCAGCAGCCTTGTGGAGGTGTTTCGGGAGCAGGACCTACAGCAGGGGGAGCATGTGATGGATGTGGTGGAGGTGATTCATGGTCTGACGTCTTTGTACGAGAGGCTGGAGGAGGAACGGTCCATCCTGGTCAACATTCCACTTTGTGTTGACATGTGTCTCAACTGGCTACTCAATGTTTACGACAGGTGGGTAAGATGTTTCCATCTAGAGAAAAGTATTTATTAAAACCTACTTATGTTTAAAACTATATGAAGTAAGTTTTAAAAATACCTTTGGCTAATCATTAGTGTCTACACGTCTAACTGACTGAGCAGCATGAGTGTCCCTTTGGCATTGTCTTTATGTTCATCGGATAAATTTAAGTCCAATATTCATTTCCTTTTTACCCGGACTAGAGGTTTAGTGACTCGACTACAACAATGATGCAGTTTAAGAACCCTTATTCCAGCGCCAGGAATATATGAATAAATGCAATAGTGCTATATATAGTATATTCTAACATGCCTCTTGGAGCAGGTTGCTTGCAGTTTAGTTGACATTATAAATCTGAAATGTAACCTGGTGAATTACTATTGCTCCTTTTTGATTTGATAATTAATAAGCATTAAAACTCTGCAAGGTACCTTTAAATGCTAGAATGGATTTGTTACCAAGGTTGCATACATAGTATGACAGCCCTGTATCATGTTTAGAAATACTGCAGACCTGGTTGTAAATCTCAAAAGGTTTAGTGTGGCTAAGAGCTCTTTCACATTACACCAAGTTATTAGAGTCAGTGTTAGTATTAAAAATAATGAAGGCTTATGTAAATACATGGTGGTGATGCACAAAAACTACGCTATTTGTGATATCATACCGTCATAAACAATGACTATAAAAGCTATTTTGATTCCAAGGACAACAGGCTGTCTGCAGATTGATGTAACTAGTTCAGTGGCTTGGTGTACACATAGCTATAAAGAGTGAGCATGGCTAAAGTTCCAATAACAATCTCCAGGCAGAGGGCCAACATCCCTTCTGAGACACAAGAGAAACAAATCCTCTTTCCCACCAACATTTACCCCATCTTTGTTCTTGATTGACCTTTTTGTGCCTTCCCCAAAAAGAAAACGCCAAGCACAGACACAGAAATACAGGAATAACCCCACAGTGCTGTAAATTCGCTCGGTAGCTCTTAACTATTTGCTGCTAATGAGAGACAATCAGAGACATTACCCTCTGCATAAATTTCAGTAATTGCTTTTAGTTTTCCAATAGCAGCACTGAATCTGAATTAAGTATGTGTGTGTGTTTGTGCCACTGAATGTGCATTATGGCATATCACCATGCATGTGTGCATATATTTCTGTGTGTGTGTCCTCTAGAAGCGTGTCACACACACATCAGGGTGTTTAGGAGTGATGTGTCCCCTGAGGAGCATCACAGAGGTGCATATTGAAGATGACATGATGCACACAGCGGATGTGTGTGTGTGAGATAGACAGGTGCTGACAGCCAGTCGTCCCCATGTCCTCTCTACGTCCTTGGGATCCACTCTAGCCCTAAATCGTAAAGGAGAACAGTAATGCTCTCCTTATGACTGCTCATATTTTCTCAGTGTGACTCTCGTTTTCTCAGCATGATTCTAATGGTCTGGCCTGAATAATGTTTTACATGTTTGTGTTTTGACATTCAAAGCAACATCCAGCACTGGGAACTTAACTTACTCCTTGATTCAGTTTTATACTTCATTGATCAAATCTTCTGTGATGAATGTGATGTTCCTCATTTCTCACTTAATGATTTAAATAGTAATTTGATAACCCTGTAGTTTCTGCCAGTGCTGCTCTGCTCGGCAGTACATTTTTCCAGGTTGTTTTGGCACCGGTGCTGTGAAATTGCAACGCAAACAAAATCCTGTCTTTCCTCAGTAGCTTCTCCATATGTCGTTTTTTTTTTATATTTTAAGCTAAATAAATAGTTAATGTTGATCCTTTTAGGTTCATATCAGAGCACAGCAGAATCTCCCTGGCCTTGCCATTGGCCAATGATCAGACAGTTTATTCTGCTGGGGATCCTCACAAATACTGTGTTTTACAATGTGATTATGACGTATGCATGTGCTTGTCTGTACATGGCATTGTGACATTGTGATGTGTGCTTAGCTTGTTATTAGTCTTCTGTGCATATACCCATGGACACAAAACTTCATCAGGTTTCTGTTGTGCCTTTAGTTACTCTGGATCTACTCTAACACAGTTTCACACTGTTGCACTTACCCGTACTGTACTGCTTTGACCCATTAAATTCATGTACACCTTGTTCCTCCCAGCAGGGCTCAGTCAACATATGAATGTATTACCATGACACAGTACAGTGTGATTTAATTCTCTGTTCAAAAATTCTATATTTGCAGCTCCTTTTTTTTCTCCCCTCTTTCATTCCTCTAGTGCTCGAAATGGCAAGATGCGAGTTCTCAGCTTCAAGTTGGGACTGGTGAGCTTGTGCAATGCAGATGTCCAAGAGAAGTACAAATGTGAGTCTGATGTACGCTCATGTGCCTAATGCATCTCCTCAACTGCAAACAATGAGCCAAAACAAAACGGCCCCATTGCCAGTATTACATAAAGGCATCCACTTAGTCTAATGGAGGAAATGACTCTGCTGCCATAATAGAGAAAGCTTCCTTTACTTCCACAAAGTACACCGGGGCCTTAAAAGAATTGTCTGCCAAAGACGTCTTTCGTGCACACACTCTCTCTCTCTTTCTCTCTCTCTCTCTCTCTGTGGTTCTCATTCTCATTTTTCTTCACATCAACTAGCGAAAAGCTAAGCCACTCATTTCCTTCATTTTTGATCATAAACTATGCTATAAAATTTTATGTGTGCTGCTCCAGCCTGAGATAGGTTTTTACTGTTCTATTGTAACCCCGGGTTATGAGTCATTCTGTAATTATAGGTAAAATGAGGTTGAGCATCTGAGCTTCCTATAGATGGGCTTGTAGTTGATACCGAATCTGAGACAATGCTGCCAAAACCATGCCAAGATTATTCATACTTGGCACACCATCTGTATCAGCTCTTAAAGACTGAAAGATAACAGATTTTCCTTCATTCGAATGGTCCCTGATGTGAGCCAGCCCTCTTTTTCTAGGTTCAGGTAGACATGGTGGCCTTAACAGCTTGTCATTCCTCTGACTGATCCCATTTTTTGCCAGCTCCAGACATCACTGGAATAATATTTGCAAATAAACCTGAAGCATTTGCATCAAACTGCTTTGAGATGCAGATGGTGGGTGTTTATTACATCGTCACCGGTCTTTGGTGGTGAATCAAAAAAGGAATATACTTGTCAATGCTTGTCATTACCTTTTCAAAAGTAGATTACTTACTTGACTTTATGGCACCAGTCATTGTTGATACTACATCATAGGTACTTGCTTTGATTTAACAATTTGTCTCTACACAAGCACAGCTTTGCAGACATCAGCATATGTAGCAAAAGAACCACTTACGGTTCTGTCACTGGCCTCTGCTTCTAATGTTTATATCAGAAAAACATGGCAGCTTTCAAAACACGGTAACAAAATAATTCACCAAAATCACACTAGTCATTACAGTTGCAGAGTAAATATATGCTGGACATGCACCACTAGTATAGTCTTACTTTAAGATTTTCCTGTTTTAGATGTGCAGCAGGAAGTACAGTATATTAAGATGATGGCCATCACCTGTGTGTCATCTTCTCCAGTATAAGTAGTCTGAGTCTGTCACTCTGTCCCCCCTCTCTCCCTGGGCTTGTCTTTTGAACTAGGTTTGTTTTTGTTGTTCATTTGTTAATTGCATTTCACTTTCCACACACTCATACACTTCATTCACCACTAATTTATATATATATGTATAAGGATAATCACCTTTATTTGGCCAAGCATGTTACACACAAGGAATTTGTTTCCGGTACAGAACCGATGGCAGCCATCTGCAGCGCCAACTCAACCGATGGCTCTAACCATCGGGGGCGACTTGGGGGTTCAGTGTCTTGCCCAAGGACACTTCGACTGCAGGCACTGAGATTCGAACCTCCAACTCCGGTTGGGAGATGACTTCTCTACCCACTGAGCCACAGTCGCCCCAATAATTAGATAATATTTAGATAATTTAGACTGTCCTTAGGTAATTTATATTCTGTTAACTAAAGTAGTTGTCAACAAGTCGTGTTGTTCTCTCCTCTGTCCTTTCTTGGAGTCAGGTTGTGACACTAGGGATGGCAATGTCACCCTGTTGTTTTTGGTCCAGATAGTTGACAACTATCGGATGGATTGCCATGATTTCATTTGTTCAGCACTTTGGTTTACGACCGTGTGCTACAGCCTCATGGACATGCTACCATGACAGTAGACTCACTGCTGTTGTTTATTTAAGATGGTCATTTCAGTAGGGGTTAACATGACCCATCAGTGTTTACCTAGTAACTTTACTAAGGGCTTCACAGCTAAATATGTGTAAGCGCAGCACCAATTTAATAAAGAGGTACTTTCATACTAACTAGTAATTACTGAAAACTTATTAAAGCCATCACAAGCAAACTTAGTAATGGCCGTTCAGATAGTTTGTAAGTGGTGCAGCCAAATCCAGAGATACATGATTTCACTGTAAACTGTCCAAACCTCATCTCTATCAAACTGCTCAATAATAACAAAGACATGTAATACACCTCAGCCGTGGTAATGAGAACTATATCGAGGAGGCTATTTAACATGCAGATGTTAAAGCCAAGCGTTGTCCCTGTAGGGTTGAATAAGTAGACAGAGTGGGGGATACATGGAATGCTTACATTGGCATTGTGCAGCACCCTCACATGCCTGTCAGCATTCATCTCCTCAGTGACAGGCAGAGTTCCAGCTAGCTTGGTAAATGCCTCATTCAAACCCTGACAAAGCTCCACTTATGCAGCTCTTTTATCTCCAAGCAGACCAGCCAGGCCACTAATATCTCTGTCTACTGTGAATTCCACAAAACTAGGTTTGGTTGCCTGGAATTCGAAGCCCATTGTTAAAAAATAGCATAAACCCAGAACTGTTGCTGCTCTATTGACTGACATACACTTACTATATTCATACTATAGTTACAGTACACCACTATTTTGCAGTGCTATTTGTTGTAAAATGTTAAAACTTGGGTGTTTAGAATGTTATTCCTAATTTACATAATATACATCGGAACGTGTAGCACTACAGGACATACAAAGGCCCTAAATCAACAGATATTGATGCAGATGTTATAAGAAGACTTGCCAATGACTCTTTTTCATGCATACACATGCAATGCACAGTCTGTGCTGTTACACTCACCATTGCACTGTATATTCAGATTAGTTACTACATAACTGACACGTGTGTATCTTTTGCAGACTTATTCCGTCAGGTTTCTGGCCCTGGAGGTTTGACAGACCAGCGTCACCTCAGCCTGCTGCTCCATGAAGCCATTCAGATCCCCCGCCAGCTCGGTGAAGTCGCTGCTTTTGGAGGCAGCAATGTGGAGCCGAGTGTACGTAGCTGTTTCCGAATGGTGAGGACACAGTCACATCCATGCAGGTCACACCTAAACACATTCACAGATAGGCTAAAGTGTATGCACTGTTTGCTGCACAATAATTAATAAGAGCAGATGAAATCATTAATGACATCGGCACAGTCTGAAGACGTTACCTGCACCATTGCAGGGCATGTAGAAATTATGGTTATTCTTGGTAAAGAAGCCAAAGTGCACTGTACTTATTATTGCATTGCTTTGAATGCACATCAGCTACAGCTGGTGGGAGATACGGCATATTAGTTATCGTACATACTGAAGATCACTGGTAAAATCCAACAAATTTAAAAAGAAAGGTTGCTCATAGAATATGATCTGGAATGATATGACAAAACAAGATCAGCCCAAATCAGTGCTCTGGGCAATACCTAATGAGGAGACCTGTTCAAAACATGAATACCTTTCTTTTTCCCACCTTTATATGTTTTAAATGTGTCTGAACATTGGTGAAATTGTAGGAATTTCACACTGTGACATCCAGTGCAGGACAGCAGATAATGAGTTGTTAGGAACAAGTCTTTTTTTGGAATCTGACACATCCAAAACCTTTAAATTCACTTATTTTTGAGGCAGACCCCAATGAAACACACTCTGTTCTGGTCCATGCTTGCTGTATCAGATACAGTTGATTAAAATCAGTTCTTTCTCACTTTGCTCCATGTGAGGGCATGTTGTTTTAGATGAAATACTTGTGTAATTCAAACTGAGAGTTGATCCGTTCACCCTTCATCTCTTGGCTTGGAAGTGATATCAGTTTGTGGAGATGTGACAGAGAACATGCAGAGCAAGGCAGTTATACAGAACAATATGATATTGGTTGTTAGGGTCAGCTGGGGAAATAGCTCAGTATTAAGTAACATGTGCCATTTAGTTTTGAGGGAGAACTGAATGTTTATCACTCTACTTTTCCAGTAATGTTTAACACATCCCATCTGCTCGGTGTCCTGTTTTATGAAGCGGCAGCATGCTCAGCATTAGTCAGTGCCAGCTCCAGGTGTTTGGTATGCAAAGGGCTGTGGTATTTGACCTCCCACATGGAGTGAAGCTGGCTTCACTCCTACTAGAGAGGAGCTTCTTCATGCCCAGGGGACTCTACAGCTTAAGGTCTGTGTGTCCAGTGCGCACACACATACAGTACATTTATTATGTTACTCTTCTTGAGCAGTGGAGGAAGCCCCAGGGAAATCAACCTCTTAATGCACCTCTGATGCAGACCTAATGAGAATTTAGCACATCACAGATTTTCAGCGCTTGGCGAGTCATTCTTTTATTAGCTACATTCCTTTTTAGCGTACTTTCTGGAATTCTCAGCAAGAAGTCCCGGGGAGTACATGGACTACATGCAAACACACATGCAGTATACACTCACACAAAGAATTTGTCCGTTCTTGGCTTTACAATTGTCTAAGATATCCTGCAGAGTAGTACATCTTCTCTCACTCTCTTTCCTCCTCCTCTTTTGTATTCTTTTTGATTTCCTTTTTTAACAATAGCTCTCTGCAGGACCAGTGTGGAAAAGAAGCAAACCTTGTCCTCACATTACTTTAGGTACCTGCTGCTGGTCTATATTTGGATTGTTTACTGTCCTCCCTCCTACCTTCCTTTTCTAGGCTCCAGGAAAGCCTGCCATTGAGGTGTCTCACTTCCTGGAGTGGATGAGCCTTGAGCCGCAGTCGATGGTTTGGCTGCCTGTCCTTCACCGTGTGGCTGCTGCAGAGGCGACCAAGCACCAGGCCAAATGTTACATCTGCAAGCAGTGTCCCATCAAAGGCTTCAGGTAATGGCTACACAGGCTGCGGTGTGCAAAGACATAGGAGGTAATACAGGACATAAAGTAAGTCCTCAGTGATCCAGTGGGGAACCTTATATAAAATGAACAGAAACGAATTGTTTAGCAGTTAATAAGCAGACTGTAGTTAAATTGGAATGTATATAGATAACAGAGAAAAACACAAAACAACATTGGAATAAAATAAAGAATACATGTATAAAGGTTATTAGAAGTTAACATGCACTGGTATTTGGGTTGTTTGGTGGAAGCATGTGAATTTTTGATATTTGATTAAAAAAAATGTTTACAGCTTGTTAATAATTACAAAAATAAGTGTTTTATTTCTGGGAGTATTTTAAAAGTGAGAAGCAAATAAATCATTTTTTTCAAAAGGCAGCAGGGGTTTTCTGTTTTCATTATGCTGAATATAAGAGTCTCTGAAGAGTATCCACAGCCCTCCAATCTGTGGAATAATATTCGTTTACTGAGGCAAGCTTCAGGCGTAATGCTGGAAGGCCCTTGACCAAAAGCCAGAATCAAAACATTTATAAATGGAAGCTCCCTGATAGCTGAGTGGTTTTTGACAGCGCACAGCACTGTATAGACAAGCACAGTGCGTGCCTGGTGTTGGTGATTCGAGTCAGACCACTGATATTTGTCACACGCCTCCTCCCCTCTCTCTTGATCTCTGCCTCCCGCATTTCTTGTTTGGCTCTCTGCAACCTACTGACAGAATAAAGGCAAAATGCTTGAAACAAACAACTGCACAGAAAACTATTTTCTGTATGTTTGCAAACCTCAAATGAATAATATATTGAATTAATCTTCTTTCATATGTAGTTTATACACTAAGAGACAGGAAGTGCATAGAGGACAGTAATTGCAATACATCATTTACACATGTAGAACGACATAATTCAGTGCACAGACACACACCAACTCTTCTGTGTAGATACACACACAGACACGCATGCCTTCACTCTGTCCAGTTTTTCATGCAAACATCAACTCAGCCTCTCTGTTATATTGATCTTGACAGGTATCGAAGTCTGAAGCAGTTCAATGTGGACATCTGCCAGACATGTTTTCTAACTGGCAGAACTACCAAGGGAAAGAAGCTGCACTACCCCATCATGGAGTACTACACCCCAGTAAGACGAAACATTACCGTATGTAACATTTAAACCGAATACAAATTCAAGACTGCAAGCATAAATAAAACTCACCTGTACTCAGACAAAA